TATATTATATATATAAAATACAAAAAAAATGCCCTAAAACAGTCAATTAAATGAATTTAAATGTTTACTTTAGAGGTAAAACATGACCCAGACATTTTTTTAAAAGTGATTTTCCTTCTTTTTCCGTGATTAATATCCTCATATTGCACCACAAATGTTGACAGCGAACTCTGCGAGTGCAACCTCATTTGAAGAAAGACATGGAACCACACATGAGCGTCACAGACAAGTAGTGTATTGAAAATACCAATAAGAAAAAATATATATATATTTACAGACATGGGACTATAGAGCACAAGGAAACTCGTGCTTGTAAGAGCAGCCTGCCTCAAACTACTGTTACAAACACGTGGGTATAATATTTCTAAAAAGACTTGCAAAACAACGTGGCAAACCATGGCAAAAAACTTACAATGAACACGAATGATATCGTAACTGTCAGTGGCAAATCACCCAGAATGGATGGTAAAATGTATTGTTATTGACCGTTCATGACCAAGGCAAGAATGGATGGCAGTGAATATGCAACCTCACCCTTTTAGATTTCGAAATGTACTCCAATCTTTAAATACAGTGCTGACGGGTGCATTAAACCAGTGATTGTAGCCACTTTGTTGACAGAGACACAAAAACATCTCGGTAGTGATGACAGAACACAGGAAGAGGTATATGCAGACATCCGACGAAACAAACTCAAACAAAGAGACATACAAATACCTAAAATCATGTAAACAGAAGTGTCATTGTGCATTTGAATGTGTGCTTATTCTGTCATTGATGTTGTTGAGATACAAATGTGCCCTTTACAGGAAAATCCATAAAATTATGAGTACATCATCATCATCATCATAGCAATTATGAAAATTATAACAATAATATTATCAATAATATACAAATATATTGTAATGAGACCATTCCTGCCCCTAGCGTCACCACTTTAGCTTTTTCCATTTTAAAATGTACACAGCAATCAAAACAACTGCTAGTTTCAGTGTTTCATTGCCAACAAAAGATGGAAAAAAAAACTAGAAAACGGGGCTGAAATAAAGCCACCAGCCTCAACGCTGATGAGCAGCTAGTTATGAAGTGTCTTCCTGGCACAGTCCCACACACACACGCACATGTACAAACACACATACACACGGTGGTTCAATCGGGGGCCCTTAGTGTCCCGATCCAGTGACGAAGCCCCGCAGGCAGGTTGAGTCCGTCAGAAGGCCCGATGCCTGCTTTCTTTCGGCTTTGTACTGGGCGTCCTTCACTCCGTGGCCACGCCGAGTGGCTGAAAGGCGCCACCGCGCCAGTCCAGAGTGTTTGAGGGAGTTGGGGGAGTTGAAGATCGAGAAAAAAAATAAAAAACACAACAACAACATGCCGAACGCAGCAGAGATGAGGAGAACAGGAAGTGGGATGGGGGACGGGTTAAAAAAATAAAAAGAAAAAAAGAATCACACACTCATCGTCATGTTGGGTGAATACTGCAATGAGAAGAGAGGAAGGGGAAGGTGGAGGGACAAAATGAGATAATATTGTCCATTTACGTTAAATCATGAGCCGATATTTAGACTAACGACTGCATAAAGTGAATTTAGGCATCACTGTAATGTAAATGTGGGTACAGGAGAGATCTAGAGCGGACAGGTGTGATGCGGACTTACACTTTCACTTTGGAATGGGTTTAAGAAGTTGCCTGCCATCTCCCCGTCATCCCGCGGAGTTCCTGGGGGATTGTTCATACCTGCCATGTTGTTCGGAGAGTTCTAGAAACCCAGATGCATGATGATTAGAGGCATAAGCAAAAATACTCACAAAATGGAGTAAATGGCATCTAATAAAAAACTAGTGGAAGCATGATACTAAATTCTGGCCAATAATGATGAGCCGATAATTAGGGATGCACCGATACCACTTTTTCCAGAGCGAGTCTGATACCGATACTGTTATTTTTGGTACTTGCCGATACGGATACCTGTATTTTCATCGCATTTGTAATTTTAAAAAATATTGGGTACAGAAACTTACAAAATTGAGTAAATGGCATCTAACAAGAAACTCTGGGATGCACAATACTAAATAAAAAAAAATATATATATAAAATAAAATCCTAAAAACTAAAATAATCATTCAAATGCCGTAAGTGATTGAGGCATCACAACATTAAGATGTACAGTAAGAGATCTGGATATTCGTATTGAGATCTGTTAAAGATTTCATTTTCATTAAATGAACAGTTTTATTAAATTAACGTTTTTAAAAGATTAAGTTTAAGTGAGTGTTAAAGGACGGCAAAGGTAATCTAAAAGTAAAATAGCAAAAATCAGAATGAACAGTTAAATATTTAATATCAGTTAATACTGATGTATTTAAAAAATTCTCATATCAGCCAATAACAGATATTAAACCGATATTTTGTGCATCTCTCAAGAAATTAAAAAGAATAAGTGAAATGCAAATCAGTGTTGTTATTGTTAACTGAAACTACTGACATAAAACAAAATGTAATTATTAAATTAAAAACATTTTAAAAAAGACAGATTTAGAACTTAACAAAATTAGAAATGTTGCCTTGGCAACTAGCTGAAAAATATATTTCAACGCAAGCACTAAAATTACTAAAACTGAAAAATAAAGCTATTAAATAAACATTACTTACACTACCAGAAAAAAAAAATTCTATTTTATATTTTTACATTAACAATGTAATTAATATTCTATTTATTAAAGCCAAGTATGAATCTCATCAAGTTAGTGTTTCTAAGCATTTTACATTTATTTAAAAATAATAACTCAAGGCAGTAACAATTTAAACAATATATTTTATTTGTGAACTTATGTTTAGCTATTATTTTTAATAGTTATCTATTTTTTAATTTTTGGGATCACCAGTCATAAAAGCTCAGTACATATTGGTCACAGATGCAAATATTTACTTTAAATTTCACCAAGCTGGTTATTGATCACTAACAGGGTGAATACTGCAATGAGAAGAGAGGAAGGGGAAGGTGGAGGGACAAAATGAGATAATATTGTCCATTTACGTTAAATCATGAGCCGATATTTAGACTAACGACTGCATAAAGTGAATTTAGGCATCACTGTAATGTAAATGTGGGTACAGGAGAGATCTAGAGCGGACAGGTGTGATGCGGACTTACACTTTCACTTTGGAATGGGTTTAAGAAGTTGCCTGCCATCTCCCCGTCATCCCGCGGAGTTCCTGGGGGATTGTTCATACCTGCCATGTTGTTCGGAGAGTTCTAGAAACCCAGATGCATGATGATTAGAGGCATAAGCAAAAATACTCACAAAATGGAGTAAATGGCATCTAATAAAAAACTAGTGGAAGCATGATACTAAATTCTGGCCAATAATGATGAGCCGATAATTAGGGATGCACCGATACCACTTTTTCCAGAGCGAGTCTGATACCGATACTGTTATTTTTGGTACTTGCCGATACGGATACCTGTATTTTCATCGCATTTGTAATTTTAAAAAATATTGGGTACAGAAACTTACAAAATTGAGTAAATGGCATCTAACAAGAAACTCTGGGATGCACAATACTAAATAAAAAAAAATATATATATAAAATAAAATCCTAAAAACTAAAATAATCATTCAAATGCCGTAAGTGATTGAGGCATCACAACATTAAGATGTACAGTAAGAGATCTGGATATTCGTATTGAGATCTGTTAAAGATTTCATTTTCATTAAATGAACAGTTTTATTAAATTAACGTTTTTAAAAGATTAAGTTTAAGTGAGTGTTAAAGGACGGCAAAGGTAATCTAAAAGTAAAATAGCAAAAATCAGAATGAACAGTTAAATATTTAATATCAGTTAATACTGATGTATTTAAAAAATTCTCATATCAGCCAATAACAGATATTAAACCGATATTTTGTGCATCTCTCAAGAAATTAAAAAGAATAAGTGAAATGCAAATCAGTGTTGTTATTGTTAACTGAAACTACTGACATAAAACAAAATGTAATTATTAAATTAAAAACATTTTAAAAAAGACAGATTTAGAACTTAACAAAATTAGAAATGTTGCCTTGGCAACTAGCTGAAAAATATATTTCAACGCAAGCACTAAAATTACTAAAACTGAAAAATAAAGCTACGTAGAAACATAAAAAAAACAAATATAAAATGACAAAAGAACATAAAATTACTAAAATTAAATATACTTCAAACTGAATTACTAAAACTGAAAAATAAATATTTTAACAACGTCCTTACTACCTTTCTGGGCCTTGAATGTGTCAGTTGCATTGCTGCTGTTACTCTACCTGCTGGTGTTGCTGTTGGACTATTTCTTTAGAAAAACGAGTGATTTATACACTTTTAATGTTATATTTTGTAATATTGGCATTGTTTCATTTTTTCACTACAAATTTTTTTTCTCATCCAATATTTTGAGGAGACACTGCCTCCCTTGATATATATATCTATATTCTATACTCTCGCGGTACTTTGATGTCACACACCGATCGATCTGTGTAGCGCCGCTTCAAATCCAACGCGCCTGTGGCCAGTGGTTCAACGCACCAAATGGTTCACCCAATTCGTTCAAAACGTGCATTAAGAAATTAAATGCTGCTGTGTGTTGCTCGGAGAATTTCATAAAAAATATCTTAAATTGTGTTCCAAAGATGAACGAAAATCTTATAGGTTTGGAATGACATGAGGGTGAGTAATTAATGACAGAATTTTTTTTCTCATCCAATATTTTGAGGAGACACTGCCTCCCTTGATATATATATCTATATTCTATACTCTCGCGGTACTTTGATGTCACACACCGATCGATCTGTGTAGCGCCGCTTCAAATCCAACGCGCCTGTGGCCAGTGGTTCAACGCACCAAATGGTTCACCCAATTCGTTCAAAACGTGCATTAAGAAATAAAATGCCGCTGTGTGTTGCTCGGAGACGAACAGTTTTGCTTCGTCTTTATATTTTCGTTGGCAAAATTGAGCAAAACAGACATCATTGTGTCTAAAATAACACAATATTAACTTTTTTCTTTCTGAACTGTTGTATAAGATCAGTATCACATTTGCACTCGTGTGATATTGCACTTATTGCTCGTGTGATATTGCTTAACTATATGATGTAAATATGAGACAAAAACTCAAACGGGGTTGCTCGGAGATGAACAGTTCTGCTTTGTCTTTATATTTTCGTTGGACAACATTGTGTCTAAAATAACACAATATTAACTTCTTATTCATTGCACTGTTGTATAAGATCAGTATCACATTTGCACTCGTGTGATATTGCACTTAGCCTATTGCTAGTGTGATATTGCTTTACTATATGATGTAAATATGAGACAAAAACTCAACGGGCATTTTTGCCCCATATCTTGAATTTTAGGGACATTCAAACTACGTTCTCTAGGCTCCATCACACAGTGAGTTGTTGCCCTGCCTCATATTTGTCATCAGTCAACTGTATGAAATGTCAATGACCCACATAGGCAAGTGCGTTAAATGCGTTAATAGTTTTAACGCATTATTTTTCACCGTAATTAATTAATCTAATTAACGCGTTAAATTACCAGCCCTAATATATATATATATATATATATAAATGACCTAAGAACATAAAATTGCTAAAACTAAGATTTAAATTCAAATAGACCTATAAAAATAAAAGTTAATTTAAAATAATACAACATAAAATATAAATAACACTGATTCACATATATCAAGGCATTAAGTTCTCACCTTTGGCAACCCATCCATATCACCCGAGCCTGTAATCAAAAGCAGTTATGAGAACCATTTGAAATGTCAAAACATTTCTTATTTTGTATGTGTTAGCTATTTGTATGATGAAGTCTCACCTAAAGACCCATTCATAAGGTGCGGCTCCATCGATCCCATTCCACCCATCGGACCGTCGGGCCCCGGCCCCATTGGGAACTGCTGAAACACACATACTGTTAACAACCATCCAGAAAATCATCAATAATACTAACAAAGGACTAAACCATGTTCCATACTGCATGAGAACAGTCAACTTACGTTCGGTCTGTTGCCACCAGGGCCGATTGGATTCATCATCGTGTAAATGTTTTCACTGGAATTCGTCGAGTCTACGAGGAAACGGATAACATTTCTTAGAGCTGCACTGGAAAATTCTCCGCAATCTGATATATTCAAATAACATTTCCCAAAACAAGAGCTTTTTAAGCTCATTTCCAGTCACTGAGGTCATTTCTCAACTGTTTTTATGAACTTTCAATAAAAGAAGGCTGATACGAAATTCAGATAGATTAGATGAAAGCAAACTGACCTCCTGGGCTTGGCATGATGGGAGTTCCTGGAGGTCCGCCACCTCCTGGAGGCCCCTGCAAGATGAGCACGGAAAATGATTACTCACAAAGAACATTTCGGACAAACAGAGAGAGAGGGTGAGACAAAATTGTGTGCGTGCAACTCACCACATAGTTTCCTGGTGATGAAGACGAGTATGCTATCTGTGGGAAGATGAGATATTAAGAAGCTTTAAGAGTTTCTTAAGAAGAGTTATTGCGATATTGAAATGATTGGAAGTGGCACTCACTGAGTTTGCGTTAGGGTTAGGCCATGGCCCCCGACCTCCCGGAACCCTTGAAAACACAAGATGCAATGTTAGTGTGTGTATAGAAGCGTGGCATAGACAGCGTGAGTGTGTTATACAATGGTGGAGACTCACATGTTCATGCCAGGCATTCCAGGACCGCCGAGAGAGTTTGGAGGAGGCCTCATTCCACCGCCGTAGTTCTGCAAATGCAGAGATGGCAAAAGTTAACATACACATGAAACATGTTATGGTGCTGTAACAAGAAGGTACTTATAACTTGCTTTTATTTACCCTGGTAAATGTTAATTCAACACCTCATCTACAATAAATTGTTTTAGAATACTATTATAATAAGTATAGGCAGGGTTGCCACATTTTTTGATTAATTAAATAAACACACATACACATATATATACACACACAACTGGTCAAAAGTTTGGATAAATCAGCATATTAGAATGATTTCTTAAGGATCATGTGATCATGTAATGGCTGATGGAAATTCAGCTTTGCATCACAGAAATAAATTATATTTTAAAGGATATTAAAATAGAAACCATTATTTTATATTGTAATAACATTTTGCAAAATTACTGTTTTTTTCTGTATTTTTGATAAAATAAATGCTGCCTTGATGAGCATAAGAGACTTCTTTAAAAAACATTACAAGTCTTACTGATCCCAAACTTTTGACCGGTAGTGTATATAGTATTTTGTTATTTCATTGATCAAAAAATGTGGCAAAATCTAATTACTATAACAATCTTTATACATTTCTTGCTTGCTTGTTTGTTTATTTGTTTATTCTTTACAATAAATAATGAAGAACATTACAGATTTTTAATAGATTTATTTCGTTTTTAATAAGGCTTTATTTATATTTGGATAATAATAAATAATAAATAAAATGTATACTTTGTATCATTGTAATGCTGTTTTATTTAGTAACATACATAATATGTTATATATGGGGAATTAAATAATAATTAATAATAAATTACATTTACAATATTTCTATGGCTTATTTTAATTCATGTATTTATACATTTTTAATTAGATATTAAAACAGAATATCTAATATCCAGATACATATTGTATATTAATGCACAATAAAGCGCATACAGTCGTGAGTTTCTGCTTGATGTCGGCAGAACCACATTTTTAGAGTTAAACTCTGCGCACGCCGAAGAGCTGCGGGGTCTCGGTCTGCTCCGGAGGCCCACACCATCACTGACCCCCACTACTGCATCTCGCCCACAGCGGAGGCGCCACAAGCGGCGTGAGAGGAAGCAGAAGAGGGGTAAGCACGGAGGTATCCGGGCTAGGCTAGTGGCTAACCCACACAAGCCAGCTATCCCCACCATCGTACTGGCTAACGTACGCTCTTTGGACAATAAACTGGACTACATCCGACTACTACGCTCAACTCAGAGGACTGTACAAGGTTTACATATAAACACAGTTGGTTATGTCTAAAATGAAAATAAACAGTTAAGAGAGAACCGCGTGCAGCTCTTAAAGGGATAGTAGCTACTAAACATGCTGCCGCTGTCATTAAAGGGATAGTTCACCCCCCAAAAAATTACATTTCTGTCATTATTTACGCACTCACATTTTGTCCCAAACCTGTATTAATTTATTTCTTGTGCTGAACACAAAAGAAGATATTTTTAAGAATGTGGACCAAACAGTAGCTGGTCCACATTGACTTTGACAGTAGGAAAAAAATACCATGGACATCACTGTGGACCAGCAACTGCTTGGTTACCCACATTCTTAAAACATAACTTTTATGTTATTGACAATAAAGCAGACTTGACTTGACTTGACTTGAATAAATAATAAACTAAATAAATATTTTCTATCAAAACGTTTCACTTTTATTAGATTTATGTTTAATTAGACAACATAATATTAAAAGTAATAATAATAATAATAATTTAATTGTACTTATAAATAAAGAAATAAATCTTCTATCAATATTTTCTATTATATGATTATATGTATTTATTAATTTAAACTCATTTTATTTAGGTATGTTTACATTTCTCTGATATTTGCAGGGTTTCTATGATTATATACTGTACAGGGTTCCCAATCTAAGCACTACTGTTTGATTGACAACAATGTCAGCCAACCTGTGGGCCCATGCCTCCCATTCCTCTGGGTGGGTTCATCCTCATCGGGCCGCCCATGTTTGGATGTCCTGATGGGGTAGAGGAAGCACAATCATTTTACAAATGCCTGAGCGATTGAAGCTCTTCCATAGCAAATTTCCTCAAACACAGCTGGTTGTAAAAGTCTATGGTGCAGTGCGGTACCTTGCGGTCTGGTGGGGTCCAAACTGTTTGGCAGGAGCGGCTGTGGCCCTGGGACTCCAACGGGAGGCTGAAACCAAGAGAGAGAGCATGAAATAAGTGCCAAGCAGAGAAAACAGCAATAGCAAACTGCAGAAATTAAAGGTTGTGGGTGGGTCAGTACCTGATTTGGCATGCGGAGTGATGGGCGGGGTCCACCTGGGTACCGTGGAGACATGAAAGGCTATGGGGAGAGAGCATAGGGGCTGTCAATCAAAAGACGCCACTGCTAACCTCTCATTAGCATAACAGTAGTACTTTAACATACTGTATGTTGCTGTTAATTCTTCAGAAAATTAACTCTTGCTTTACTTGATAGAAATCATAATCTATACCACTGATGTTTATATTTGATTTTCCAAAAGCGATTTATAGTATAAACAAACACAAAAAAAATATTTCGGATTTATAACAAACTAAAAGAAATGTTACAGTATGTAGTGTTTGAGATGCGCAGTACAATAGTAACCAGCAGGGGGCACAATAACACTGTATAAAAGACATCTGTTTGAGCCTAAAAAGAAAAACTCAAACATCAGTTCTCTCTACGCTGACATGGTGAGGCTTCTGCTGTCAGATAATTTAATAGAGGAAATATATGGTATTTTAAACAAGACTTCATAGCGAGAACCAAGACAGAAAGAGGATGGACATGAGAGCAGTAAGACTGAACATCATTCTAACCAGACGGGAAGCGACAAGTTACAGCAACAAGTCATTTGTCTATCCACAATGAAAGCACAAACACTGCCCGACGCCACATGATCACAGTAAAATAAGAACATATTTCAGGTTTCATACACAGTTACGAGGCACTGGATTTTTAACCAGAGAGTTAGCTGTGGTTGACGTCGTCCAGTGCAACATAAAAATGATCTATCGCTCAAAGCTTTATTACATCACAGAGTAATAAGTCATTTTCTTAGGGGTTTGATCCAACAACCTTTAGGATCGACCTGCTTGATCAAACTTCATTGTTTCAGCAAGTTTGTGTATTTGGAAGGGTGTGTTGGTGTTTGCGAATTTGTGTTAGAGTGCCTGTGTTTATACTTGCATGTGTAAACGCAAGAGCATGTTTGTGTGTTCGTGCGTGTTGCATTATTAATAGGATATTGATGGACTATGAAGGACTGAGTGCAGGGTGTAGGGAGGGACCAGGTCTGCAGAGTCCCGGGCTAGATGAACTTCCACTCCCCACGGGCCGGGCCACAGCCTTCATTATTTATTCGGCAACATCGTCACTGTCAGCGAGGAATATGTGTGTGCATTTGTGTGTGTTTTCAGAGAGAACAGAGAATGAAGTAATGTACTGCTTTGTGCTCTATCTAGGGAAGGGTCACGATAGTCAACCAGTTGTCCAACAATGTAACTGACTAGATTAGATTTTTCTTAGATTTTATCCTTCAAATAAGTATTAATATAATATTCATATTTGATATATACCTTACTTAGATTTAATAATTTAATCATTCCTGTAGCTCAAGAAACACCAAAATCATGGGTTTGATTCCCAGGGAATTTATGAACTGATAAATTGTATACCTTGAATGCAATGTAAGTCGCTTAGAATAATCTATTCTTGTATTAAAATAGTCTAATCTAATCTAATGATAATTATATCAATAATAATTATTTAATTATTATAATTATGGTACCAACTCTAAGGTCATAGGTTCGATTCCCATTAACTGATAAACGGTATACCTTGAATGCAATATAGGTTGCATTGGATAAAAGCTTCTGCCAAATGTGTAAAATGTAAATAAAGGGTCAAGAAGCAGACTTTTTCCAGAAATAAAGGTGGTCAGTTTTGGGAATGAATGAAAGAAAAGAAGAATGAAGGTGTGAAGACGGAAAGGGTGAATTGAAAGCTGCGCCACAGTTGCTCCTTAAATTTTATACTACACTTGTGTCTATTCCACAGGTTATGTGTGAGGAAGTACAAGAAAACAGGGGGACGAGGGTCTTACCTGGCCGTGCGGCCCCATCATGGGGTTGTTGGGGTTGTGTGGAGGGGGCTGTGAGTGTGGTGATGGTTGTGACCCGGGTGGGCCCTGAGAAAGGGAAGAAAAAGAGAAAAATTAAGAGATATAACACTTGAAAACCTACAGACATGCCATTCAGTTGGTCTTTGCTGAAGCTGGTTGACCAACAAAGTCTCACTGTTTAAGGACGTTTAAGAAAAAGCTGATGATTCCAGTGGTCTCTAATAACAATCCAGCCTAGGTTAGTAATAAATCTACCCTCTATTCCCCAGCAAAGGACATCTCCTACAGGGCTGGGCAGCTGCTGAACCCCATAACGGAGCTCCACCACAAGGCCTCCTCCTTGTCTCTCAATGGAGTCCATTATGGATAAGTGGGAGAGGCATATGGTCTATACCGAGATGGCCTGTTCCTGCACCACATCCCTGTAGAGTGACTGAGGGCTGGATTGTGTGTGTGTGTGTGTGTGTGTGTCTTGGTTAAGGAGGGGGGTGTTTGTTAAATGAAGCAATTAATAAAATCATTTTCTACCCAGCTAAGGAGATAACGGCTTGGCACCGAACTACAAGCCCATCAAGAGCAGCCCCTCCCGCCGAGAAAGGGAACAGCACATAGTATTCCTAGCGGGACAGCGGCATAGAGGACAGCAGCAACCACAAGTCCAAGTGTTTCGGGGAAGCAATGCCGCTTCCTGACCGAAAGGGGGCAGTGTGTAGCTACTTGCCATGTGACTGCCGGGACACAAAGTACCAAGCAAAACAAAGCATGGAACAGCAACACAATGCATATTTCATTGTTGTCTCTGTGTACATTACGAAAAAAAATTACAACCACTTCTTTGGCAAATGCCATGGGATTGTGCAATTCATGTTTTTGAGGGTGTGCAGCTTCAGAAGGATGGTTTTCACTAGTCTTGGAAGTAATTATTCTGATAAGTGCAGCTGCCACAGAATCTGTCACAAACCGAGACGATAAATGCAATGTCGTACCATACAGGATCTAAACATCATCAAAAAGCTCTAGTTGTCAAAAATGTCAAGAAATCTTGCAAACATGCGCGTAGCAGAGGTACTTTGACTTTAAAGTCACACCAATTGATGCAACCAATTAATTATTTAGATTTCTGTGCAAAAAGTACAACTGTCAGGAAATCTGTCACAAACCGTGACAATGACATGCCAAGCGGGATCTAGATGTTGACAAAAACACCTCTAGCTGACGAACAGGTCAATATAAAGTACTTTTTGACCTCAGAAGTAACTGAAAATGATGTAAACTCAATCAAAACCAACCGTAAGACTACAACTTGGAAAGAAAGAAAACATGAACCAAAATAGAAAGTATATTGAGATTTGTTTGAGTATTGGGACATTCCCATGTCAACAGGACTACAACGCTGTACGGTGCTGGACCTATTTCAATGTCCCAGGACTCCTACACCTCGCAGAAGTATGAACACGATCCTCCAGTCCTTTTAACCTTGATGGAACCCTCCCTCTCTAGAGTCTGTCAGCCTTTCACTTTTCTCAGTGTTCTGTTGGTTTTCAAGAGGTTTTTGTGGGAGAAGGGCTGATGAAATTCTCCCACCTTCTTCCCTCAAAACAAACCCATCCATTTCAGATGTTTCCAGCTAAACTTGAAACTATTTCTCTTTTTTTTGCTCCTTGACTTCGTTCCCTCCCTGCCTCCCCCTTGCTAGTCTGTCCTCCCAAGAGGAGCTGGTGCAGTGAAGTTTCGACGTGAAGATTATTGAAGAAGTCGACCCATGCAATGAGGGGAATAAAAAAAAAGAAGAAGAAATCATATGAAATTTCCCAGATCTGGGCCAGACGCCAGAGCGCAAGCTTTGTGTTTCTCTCCCTAAACTCTCTTCCTTCGCTCTCCGTCTCTCTGCAGGAGGTTGCTGGGACTCTGGGCCTGCGAGGTACAGATTAGGAGAGTCTAGAGAGAGGGTGTACATGAGGGTTTAGCCCTCTTCACCTTCGTCCCCGTCTCGCAGGACCACGCAGCTACTGCGGTCGCATGTGTTAATTATCACCACTGCATCTGGAGCTGCGCTGAAGACATGGCTGCATAGCTCCACTACCAAAATGCTTTTTCAACTTAACTGCAACAGTGTACTGATCACTAGAGTACCAGTATATCTTATAGAATTGTTTTTGTCCCTCCTTTTTTGCTGGACATGACTGGACAACATGCAATTCGGCAAGTTAGTCATGTGTTTATTCAATAAATGCTATTCAGATTTAGGGAGTTCTTCATTAGAACGTCCCAAACTGATAACTTGGATGTTTGTTTGACTTTTTGACTGAATCACAAAAAGTTTTCTGAGATAGATGTGCACTCATGACCAACAAAGAAATAATTAGAGAAATAAAAGAAGAACAACAAACCAAAAGACATGCAAAGAAGGAGACAAAGCACAGATGTCCGACTTTCGAAACAACAAAGTTAGGATTCTGTTTGCAGAACCAGCATGGATCACAACCTGTTCCAATCACAATTCTATTAAAAACAGCTACAAAAAGAGCAGCTCCAACTATTAGCACAACTGTGTCCAGCAGTCATGGCCGACGCAAGTGGGAGGGAGCAGCAGTTAGCTCTTGAGAGGTGTGAAAGAGTGATATACTGGCCACTAAGATATATGCCAAGATATAATTGGCGTCACCACCAGACCACAGCCGCTGGTCGCGTGGAATCGGGGAGCGTACAAGGAACGCACGTGGGCCTGGAGGAGCCTTTCTTTTTGCAATTGTTGCCACATTGCCATCTTCTCTTCCTTCATTTTTCATTCTTTCGTTTTCTGTCTTCACTCTCTCCATGCCTCTCTTCTGCCATGCCCTGGGCTGCTACCAAGAGGGAATTACTGCAGTGGAGCACAAAGTCCTCCCTCTTCCTCCCTTTCTTAGTTTTCTCTCTCTTTCTCTCTCGCTCTTATGCACACAGGCACTATTTATAGAATGCAATGTCACTCACGCAATAGTCAGATTGCTCGCTGCTCCGAACACGGCTCATACAACATTAACACTCTCCTCCTCGACTCAAAGACCATGTCAGGGTTCTATCTGCCAATCCATGTGATGCTCTACCTGATGCTCATCTCAGCATCTACTGCTTTATAGGATGCTCTATCAGCTATTCTACCTGACAATCTGCAACAATCTTAAAGCATTATTGTCTCTGCCACTCTGGTCTAATGTTCAATTTGCTGTATTGGATCTTCTCATCTCATTGACTCCATTGGATCCTCTATCTGCAGCTCTGTCAGGTGCTTTATCAGATGTTCCATCTAATCTATCAGATGTTCAACAAGATGTTAAATACACTATCAGATTTTCTATCTAATGAATCTTGTTACATATACACTCTATGTGATGCTCTATCTGCCACTCTTTCCTTATCTTCTATCTGACATTCCATCTACTCTTTCATCTAACTTATTGATATTCATCTCTGTCAAAGTATCTCATTGACTCCATTGGGTCCTCTATCTGCTGCTCTATCAGGTGCTCTGATCTTCTATCTACTCTATCAGAGTTAGATGTTCCATCTAATGGAAGATGTTCCATATTCCATCTAATCTACCTGATGTTTGACAAGATTTTAAATACACTGTATCAGTTTTTCTATCTAATGAATCTTATGGTATACATACACTTTGTGGGATGCTCTATCTGCCACTCTATCTGATCTTCTATCTACTCTATACCTGTCTGATGTTTTACTAAATATTGAAATCACTGCACCGCCTCTTCTATCTCATATCTTATCTTTTATTGACTCTACTGGATCCTCTATCTATTCTACTGGAAGCTTCATCTGATGTTCGACAGTAAATCCACTGTATCAGATTTTTATTATCTAATGAATCTTGGATATATATACTCAATGGGATGCTCTATCTGCCCTGCTATCCACTGCACCTGATGATCGATCAAACATATCTTATACTCTACTACATGTTAAATCCTTTGAAGTTAGAAGCAAATATAGAATATAGAGATGCAATTTGTATATGACTTGAATAAAAAAAAACAGAAATTAATTGATATAATAGCTTGATTAAGTGGCTTACATAAGTTGGACTCAGGGTTATGATAAAAGATAATGTTTGACTAACAGAATTTGTCTTCCTAAGGTAGTGTGTGTTTATTTAGGAAGGTGACTAGCTTTGTCTAACTATAAATAGCTCAATAAAGATCACTATGGCAGAGGAACTCCCACAGGCACCTTGACTTTGGGAACTATGCCCCAAAGCATTTCCCCAAATCCCAGCCTTGAATTTAAAATACAAAGATATGTTGTTAGATATGCGTTGCCAAAGAGCTACAACCAAGCACGCATGTTTTTACCCATTTTGGCCTTAGGGATTAAACTGTCGAGACATTCACACTGATCTCAGATCAGGGGCCATGACTCTCTGTTTGTGTCAGTGTGAGTTGCTACTGTACTGAACTACTAATTCAGACACGCAAAATGGAAATGAATGGAAATACGGAGAAGGAGAGATAGCGGGAAAGAACCATCTGGACAGGGATTAAAAGAACTAAAGGGGGTTAGTGAAAGGAGGGGTGGGGAGAGGGACAGAAAAAATGGTAAAAGCTTCATGCACCGGGTTAAAGGAGGAGGTTGAACGGGAGGATGGGGGAGGAGAGAGCAGCTCTTACTTGAAAGAAGCCGGGAGGCATGGGTCCACCTGGCATACCGTCATTGGGCGGCATGTTGCCCATCACAGGACTGGGAGCTGCTGCCGCACTCTGAAACAGAGAAGCAAGCAAAGCCTGGTCAGAAAATAAATTCTAAAAATAGCAAAAAAATTCCAAACCAAATTCCACCTTTTAGCCATTCAAACTATTCATTTAAAGTTCGTATGTATTATAGAATACATTAAATAATTCCACTTTTTCCAATGACAATTCCATAATACTACAACATAAAAGTAGAATCTCTCGTCACATATGTAAGCAGTTGTTTAGGTTGAAGCCTGGGCCCCCCACACCCCAGACAAAGCCAAACTCAGCCGTGTCTTTCCCATGACGATAAAGAAGGGGTAGACAGGGATTACACATGACCCAGCGCCCCCTCCTCCACCCTGTAATCAGATCCCTTGCTCTCGTTTGGGTGGAGGAGGGTAAATCGCCTCAGTGCCGCTGACCCTAATAGCCCAGACACTCACCGCTGACCCTGAGAGGGCAAAGGGCACTGTTCCATTCACCAACATCCACAGACATAGGTACATGATTATCTCTGTCTTTAGCTCTCACACATATGTAGTAGCAAATCAAGCCCTAAAGCCACATACACACATAAACATATATTCAAGATCACATATAGTCACACACACCAAAAGGATAGACAAGTCGACCTGTAAATCGAAAGTCTAAAATTCCTTCAAGGCTTCATCCCACCATCACCTAAGTTTGAGAGCCAAGAAATGGTTCCGTTTTAAATGTTTTAAATGACTTCGGGTTCCGTTAACAGTTTTCAAATGTCTCAAAATGAACATTTTTAGAGAATAGAGGCCTGTTCAGACCAAGAGCTATAAATATAAAGATAACTATAAAGATATACATTAGCATTCACACCAATAGACAATAAAGTTGTGTTTATTATAACTGTGCTGCATTTTTGTCATTTGCCACTTGAAATGCTCATGCTTTTTAAAATTGGATAGATTCTGATATGCTGTCAATGATTTCATTGTTCATAAGCTGGAAAAAAAAAAGGTTGCGGTGATTCCAATGATAACGCTGCTCTGTGTTGTTATTATTATAGTTGGGGTGTGGAATTCTATATTCTCATAGAGTTAGAATGATTATTAATACTTTATAGTTATCGTTATAGTATCATCCTAGATGTGAACGACTTACATTTTGTCTGTTTCTTACACAAAAGTTTCGTATAGCTACACTAAACTTGGAATATAGAGCTTAAGTCGTATGGACTACTTTTAAGTCTTTGTTCCCTATATGCAGCATGAACAATTGAACATTTCTGCATTTCTGTTCCATGGAATAAAGGCACATAGGTTTGGAACTAAATGAAGGTGAGTAAGTGACAGAATTTTCTTTTTTTTACATGAACTATCCCTTAAAGACCCTGTCGCAAACATGACAAATCACAAGCACCAGCAACAACCACCATAGAAACTCCACAGATTTTCATATAATCTATATACAAGGACGCACTTTATCATAAATGAGGTAAGAAAAAGGGTCCGGAGGCTGGCGCTGGACAGATAACAGGTGAGGTATGGCCAGGCACCATGTTTGCATGCAGTGGAGGGATTGGCGAGTGTGTTTGGTTAAGGAGAGGGAGGGGCTGAGTGACAGATCGGGCCGGTGAGATTTTGTTTACACAGTGGCTGGTGTAGGTTTAACCAGCACAATGGCTCCAACAGCATATAAACGAGTGAAAACGCAGAAGGTGTGCAGATGAATAATTTAATTAAAACAGAGATGAACTACAAGAAAATCACTGGCCAGAATGACCAGCAGCCCATCAGTGGGAACAGGAGTCATTGGTAGCTCACACACACATTCGCACGCAGCGTGACTCCGTTTCACTCAGGTAGAGCGGCAGAGGGCCCAATCGGCTTGTTGCCATGACAACCCAGACCTTGGCTCTCCCGCTCTCCGGTGCCCATTAAAACCCTCAGGCCGTCAATCACTTGCCCGGCCAGGGAGCGAAAGAGAGGGAGTGCGAGAGAAAGAGGGGAGAATGAAGATAGAGTTTAAAGGAGCCTGTGGATTTTGATAGGCCTGGCTGTTTGCTACTGCTATCTCTCTCCCTCTCGACCCCATAAACAGACACATTCCAGTTCCTGTTAACCCTTCTCATACCATGCTTTGCATGTTTGTCCTGCCCTCTTCCCTTAAAGCAAAAACATTATACACGAACGGATCTTTCCAAAGGTTTTGACCATTAAGGCGCATTCACGTTTACCATTGTTTGAGTAGGAATTTTGCGTGAGGGGGAAAAGATTTTCCCAAACAGATTTCGCAACGGGTTCAAGGTGGTCACACAGATTTGACAATGGAGGGTTTTTTTGCCCACAAAATTTTGCCGAAATTTCGCTTGTGACAAAAAACAAAACAAAACAAAACAAAAAAACAGGAAAAAGTCAGCCTATAATTTTTGTTTAATATACATTTTTAAGCAAATTTTAACAAAACTGCGACTTTTGTCCTCAGATTTCAGTTGTGCTTTAACATTCAAAATTTCATAAAATAAAAAAAAAACATTCTATGACAATTTTCTTAACTAAAATCAAAATTATATTACATTAATAAGAAACAATATACACAATACATATACACACACACATATATTTATATATACCCAAAATAATGATATAGTATATATATATATATATATATATATATACCCCTCATGTACACCCCCACCCCACAAACACACACACACACATACACACTCATACACATACTATATTCCCAGAACCCCCTTGCTTTCTCAATCTCAGTGGCCCACAATTATGCTTGCTCAAGGGCCTAATCATAAGCCATGTACAGAGACAAGCGTGTTAATGTGTGTGTGGACAGGTGGAGAGAAAGTTTCCCGCCCAGAACACCTTCTGAAATGCTGAAGCAGCAGTATAACTGTGAAACATGGAAAAACAGACAGACGAATAGACACGACAGCTATGCGTAGCTCGGCTCCACCTGTTATTTACATTAGCCATTACACTACCACACTAATGTACTGTACTGAACAACACTGAGCCAAAAAGCTAATGTGGCCTTGATTAGGTCTTGATAGATTGGAAAAATAAAAGAATTCAAAACTGCAAAGAAGCCATCATGCCCAAAGTTAATGCAAATAGGATTAGCTTACATGTAAATTAAAGCGAGACCGACAGCAGCAACAGCATTGGGATACGACACATGCTGTGTGCCGCTGGGCATGACCGTTTGCCACCTTATTGGCCATGTCAGGTATTTCATAATGGCCTCACACATACAAAAACACTGTAATAAGCTCCAAACCACTAAGAGAAAACAAGGTCTATGAGGAAGTATGGCATTCATATACTACACCGATGTATGTTTTAATAAAAATGAAATTCAGAGTTCTGGCATCACTCTTTATTTATTCGTTCATAGTAACAACCAAGTAAACCCAAAAAGATACCATGCATCAACATCTTTCTATAGGTAACATCTTCAATTTTAAACATCATATGTCAGTTATTTTCATGTCAACTTGAGGCCAATGCACAGTGCTAAACATCTAGAGATAAGACGGAGAGAAGAATGGCTCATTCTAAGTGCAGACATGTTTAGAAACGTCTAAAAACGAGAGACTGATAGATGTAAGGGGGCGGGAGGGTTGGATAGGATGTAGGAAGGTTTTAATGCCAGTGTTACAATCCTATTTCTAATGTGAAACATGTAAGGCGGTCACATTACAATCCATACATTGCAAGAATGGTTGGCGGGAAGGGAGTTCCCATTGGGACCATTGATGTTGCCTGCTGAAAAGGGGAGTTTCCCCATCTCTCCCTCCCTTTCTTTCTCTCTGCTTTCCTTTCTCTTCAAGTATGCCCTCTAAGCAGGCAGAATCATTCCTCTTTGGAAAGAGTCTCTGGAGTTCCCACTACAGGGTAAAGGAGCTTAGCATACTAGGCCTATATTTAACATTCACGGAGTCTGAACGCTGGGAAAGAGTAGGAAACCTAGCGGGCTGTGGGTACCCAAGAGGAGCTGGAAGTACAAGGAAAAAGAGAGGGCCTCGGTCCTGCCAGACAGGGGCTTGAAGAAGGGAAAACTCAAACATTCCTTAGACAATGAAGGGTCTGTAGCGCTGGACCTTAGCGCTTGAGGCACCAACAAAAAAGAAACACAATGAAGGACAAAAACTATGAGCAGGTTGAATTCCTAGATGAAAAATGATAAGAAGAAACTGAGAAGAATTAAGATGTGGTGGCAAAAATAACATTAACAAGAACACGAAGTCTAGGCAAATGAAAAGCAGACATAACACATCAAGTGCCCAAACAAGTTTCTCCGTTCTTCAAGCTTCAGCCTGGTTAAAGTGGCTTTGGGTTCCTCAGATGTCCAAATCCACAATCCCTTTATGCAGATCGTGAGTGAAACCACTGAAACTGAGTCAGCCAACTTGTAACCGGCTGTGGCCAACAGTGGTCAGCCCACCCAGTGGTCAAATCTGGCTTCCATCTACAACAACTCAAGTTCTTTACTTCCACAGAAAGTTATAAAACTGTCAATAGATGCGGTAGCATTAATGCTCTTAAATATCCTCTTAAGTGATTAACCCTCTAAGCACCAAAGTCGCAAAATTGCGACAAGACGTCATACTTAATCAAATAGGCCGTAGATCCTAATATGGTGTAATGTCGCATTTGTATTCCCTACCACTAGATGGCAGACATGTAGTACTTCGATTCTAGACCAAAATGATGTCATGTTCCAATTCAAAGCGTTCCAGGAAATAGCAGAGCAAGTGAGCTATCGTGTCATTGATGCGGAAGCAATTCAGTTCAGAGCGTCTGAGTAAATTGTGAGATTTGTGAGAGAAAATCGCCAAATGGCTAATAAAAAGTTGTACTGTGAGGATGTGTTGCAAATGTTATTCGCCGATTCTGACTCTGAAGGGGAATATTTGCCTTTTGGAAATGACGATCGGTCGTCTAATGATCGCGCTTCTCCCGGTACATCTTTGCAGCGCAATGGTGCCGCCATGCAAGGCGAGAGTGTTCACGAAGCACAAACAAGTG